ACTTTTAGAACATTTTCATCATTATGAAAACGTGATAAATTAATGTCCGATATTTACAGGCTCCCGCTAGACGGCGTACTCGAGCGTTGTGATCGCGAATTGTGTTTTGAAAAAATGAAATTTTTTCGAAAATTTTAATACTGCTTAGGTGAATTTATTGTATTAATATTTGTAATATTATATTTTAATTGACAAACACAATTTTATTTATTTTAGTATTTCAAAAATGAAATGGCAATTTTAAAATATTTTTCGAATTTGTTTATTATTTGCATCTAAAATTTTAATTGAGATTTCATTTTAAATTTACTTAATTGTGCTCAAAATGTTTGGAATTGCTTATTGTAAAAGACCAAATAACAATTTGTATTAATTAAGAAGAAAAAAGAATTGATCTATTAGGGAAAAAACTTTTTCTTTGAGCCCTGATAATAATACCCATAATGATTTAAATCTCAAATCATACCACCCTTTTAACCTCATAAAAAACCAATTGAGAAAAATTTCAAAGAAAGAAAAGTTATAGCAGATTATAAAAGACGAAATGAGAAAGTTTTAACTTATAGATAGGGTATTATTTTCACTGAATAGAATAAAAATAACACATAATTTCAGAGAGAGGAAAAGAATTTGAAGAAGAAATCGTAAATATTTCAGTTATTTTCAAGAACATAAAAATATTGATTAATAAAAAGTGACATTTAAGAATAGAAACTCCTTATTTCTACATCGAGAGTTGATGTCACTAGAGAGTTGCAATCACCAACATGGAGGCGTGTCGCTACTTAATATAGGGCTTTACGAAAAACAGCTATCATCCTTACTTATTCAGTTACTCTAGAAGACGCCAATAATTACAGATATAACTTAATTTCTCTGCGACTGTAGAAACCTAATTGTAGTCCGAATTAGAAAACTGTGGAAATATTTTTATTCATAATAGAATTTCCTCAATTGGAATACACGGTTACAGAAATTTTGCGTAAGAGAAAGATTTAGAAAATTTAAGACCTGTGAAAATAGACTTCACTCCTTTTTAAAAAAATATTAAAAAATGAACATTTTGTTCAAGGAAAAAAAAAAAAAAACGAAAACTGTTTTATAAGTGACAAATAAAGAGTAGCATATACTTACCATGATACTAAATTCAAATAATTTACAAATAGTGTAATTTTTCTATTAAATGTTGCAACTAGCTGTACTGGCAAATCGAAATATAAAATTTTTAAAAATGCTCGCCAAGTATTTATAGGATGGTTATAATTGCATTATAGTTCCGTTCTTGAAGATTATCAAAAAGTTTATCGATTTTCTTCAATGTCGTGGCAATGAAATAAACGAAACCCATAAAATTTTTATATAAGACGTTTTTTTATACATTTTTATATAAAATGTTTCTACATCTGCCCATTAAAATATATTACTCATTTTTAACTATACATTAAACTTCAATAAAAGTTTAGAATCATGTAAGAAATGTGTGTCGATGAAACATATTGTAATGCAATCATAAGATCAAATTGCAAAAACCTCTTTTATTTTTACAAACTCGGAAGAAAAAAAAATTTTAAAAGTTAACTACTCTAAAGATTGTCTAGATTTGTAAAGTACCTCTCGAAAAATATATTCAGAAAATTAAAATCCAAATCAAATATTTTGAAAAGAATTAAACATATTATTATAAAGTACTGTGCAAAAAAAAATAAATGAGATTTTCAAAAAAACACTATTTAAGTAAATAAAAACAGAAATCAGTAATTAAAATGCATTTCAATATGTCTTATCTTTATACAACATAATAGAATCAATATGTTTTATCTTCATACAACATAATACAGATATCGTAAATCCTTTCTCCATAGCATTAATAACTGTTTGAAGCCGTCTTGGTTAAAGGAGAGACTTGAGAGTGGGAATCAGGTCCGGGGTGGAAACAGGCCACTTTAAAATATCTATTTAATTATTATCAATCCATTTTGTGATTAGTTTCGAAGTATGAGAACTAGCATTGTTCTATTGTAACAAAAAGCAGTCAAGGTAAAATCCTTCCATAGCGGGAAAATGGGAACGAAATTTTGCTACACGGCAATTAGTCAACTTTTCATTTGTGACGTGGTTAATTTAACTGTCAACCGATCATAAAGCGAAAACGTAAAATGTTATCATAGGCTGAATTGTCGGAACGCCGTCTAAACTCGGCAGTTTGAACCTCAGTTCCGTGGTTTATGTAAACCCGGTCTAAACGAAAAACCAGATCTCACTTTTCAAACGTAGATTTGCCGTGGTTTAACAAAACTAGAGCGAGACCAAGCTTATCGAATGTATCTGCACTGAAATTTTACCTGGTTGATGAATATACCCTATCAGGTGGAAGGAGTCACGTCTGTCATCATCATCATCATCATCATAGTTGGCCAGACAGCCCAATGTGAGCCAATGCCTTCCTCTGAAGATTTCTCCACGACGACTTCCGATTTATCGTTGATCTCCAATTTTTTTCATTAATTGCGAGAAAATCAGACTCCACTGAGTCAGCCCATCTCAACCGAGGCCTTCCTCACTTTCTTTTTCCAGTGGGTCTAAAAAGCAGTAACTTTTTATTGTGTCTTATTATCGCATCTGTCACTATTTGGAAAAGTCTTGGGAATTTTTTTTTACATTTTGTAGGTGTGGAAATAAACACAGCCATGTTGAAAATTTATGCGGAGGGATCACTGCGTAATTAATCAAGAAAGAAATATTTTTCATGAAATGAAATTCGCTTATGTTAAATAATAGTCAATAAGAAAACTTCTTATGCGGAACATTATATTTTAATTGAGTAATATGTCATTGAACATTGACCAACATCAAATATAAGAATACTTAACTGGCTTCTTTTAGAAAGAAAATTTTAAATAAGAATTTTATGTGACAAATAAGAAATCTCATTAAAAATGTCTTTGATAAATAAAACAGATATATAATAAAATTTATGTTTGCTTTTATTGCTTAACTTCTCTACCTATGATTCTAAATTTAGAAGCCTGTTAGAAAAATACATGTAATAAAATAATCTGATTTTTTTTTTCATTCTATATAAATAAAAATAAGTGAAAAATAATTTTTCTATCATGCATAAACATTTTCATAGCTATGATTTATTTTGCTATGATTTTTGTCAGAACTTTTTATTAACTCTTTTCAAAAAAAGATGAGCATAATAAGTGACAAATATATTTTAAGTAGAAAAATCACAACTTAGTTATCGAAGTAAGCGATTAATAAATTATGTGAAGGTAGGCTATGTACCCCGGTTTTGATCTGGGTTAAAGAAAAGAGAAGGGCTGGTTCATTCCTCTCTTTTAGAGCTGAAGCTACGATTTCTCTCCTGATGACGTCACGCCGCACACAGATCTCTGAGATCGCAAGCAAAGATACTATAAAAAATTTGTATCATTCTCTCTGTAAAAATAAGTTCGACATTTTCTTGAAATTAGCTTTCAAACTTTACACATTTAACACATTGTATCATTTCAAAAAAATTTTATTGGCCATAATATTAAAAAAAAATATCTTTTTAAACTAATAAAAATATTTAACTAGTTGTCGTAAATGACACTATAAATACTTTATTTTAAAATTTTCAGTTTTAGGTTTTATTATTAAGAAAAATTAAAGCATATATCGATACTTTTTTAGCTATAGATCGTTAGATAACAGTAATTTGTAAAGTTGGGTTAAGTTTGGAATCCCGATTTTAAAATATGCTGCTAATAGCAATTTGTTCATTAGGAAACAACTTCAAACGCTAATTATTGAAACAAAATAATAATTTAGGTTCATAATAATATTAGAAATTTTGCAGTTGTTAATAGATATTTAAATTTAAGATAATGTAATTTTTAAAAAAATCATAAATATTTAGAATAACTACATTAAAAAATATGTTATAAAATTAGGAGAATTTTTACTATTAATTACTTATACTTTTCCTTAAAGTTTTTATTTTCTTTGAATTTAACCATTTTTTTTTCTTTTTTTTTTCTTTTCTTGAAGTAACGGGGCAGTTTCTATTTAGATGGTGAATTCTTTTAAAGGTTCCTAAACGACAGAATTGCTGTTTTATTCACTGCGGTATATCGTCCGTCTAATTCATTCATAAGTTCTTTGATGACACTTTTTGATTTTCTGTTAGATGCCCCATGCATACTTTGTAAAATATTCTCAAATTCCTATTCTCAGTATTCAAATATTATTTTTGAATGCTGGTCAAAAATGAAGTAAAAACCCCAAACATTAGGGGTTCGGAAATTAATATTTAAGGTGAAAAAAAGATAAAAATTAAAAAGAATGCAATTTAAGAAATAAAAAAACAAGGGAGGCAAGATTAAACACTTCTAAACCTCTTTGATTGCCAAACAATACTGAGTGGAAATAATTTTTAGAAACATTTTCACATTTTATGTAGATATCTAATTAGTTTTAACTCAATAATATAGATTGTAGCTACGTTTTTGTCTTTTCCTGGATTAAATTTTAATTCGCGACCTAAAATGCATATGCTTTCTTATAAGGATGTAAAAATATGAATTTCGAAATGATCTGAATACAAAGACTGAACTGTATACAGGTACTGAATAAAATTCCCTCATGTGATTGTAGGAATTACTATGAGCACTTTTTCTGCCCCACTAAGGTTTTTAAAGAGGTTGATGTATGATTAAGATTTGTGTTTCAAACAAATTTAATGGAAAATTGATTTCAGTTGAATGCGACTAATGCAACATGATATGACGCTATGAAAAGGAATCCACCAAACAAAAAGGACAGAACTGAAAGAAAAGAAAAAATTGAGTTAATTGACTTTAAAGTCTTATAAAAAAAATTTTCTCTGATTTTTTTTTTTTTTTTTTTTTTTTTTTTTTTTTTTTTTTTTTTTTTTTTAAGAAAATGGTGAAAAATAAATACTTTTTTTAACATGCAACGTTTCAGAAATAGAAAAACATAATACCCATGAAAAGCAAATATATGTATAAGTAAACAGAAAAATTTTTAAAATACATCATTACTTTTAATGAAAAATCAAGTTTACATAATTTATTATCATTTTGATTTCAAAAAAACATATTAGAGTACTATAAAAGTTTTGTATTCAGTTGAAGGCATTTAAATTAATATTGCACTGAAGCATAGTGATTCTTTCTTGCTTGCATACATCAGTTGGCCAATATCAGCTTTGTTTTTTCTTCTAAAGAAACTTCCTTAATCAGAAATGTACCATAGTTGCTGATCTGGAAAAAGAAAAAATATATTTTATTGAAACTGCTGAGTCAATCATTTAAATTGCTAAACTATGAGCAATTATAATAATAAATGAAAAAAATTAAAAATGCTTTATTTGTTTATAATAATTGTTCATAATTTAGCAATTTAAAAGCTCTTTTTGTAATTACAGCTGGCTTCCAAATTTTGAATTAATCAACATAAGAGGTGGATTAGTAACAATTTCTTGTTATCAGTTTCAAAAAATCCTTACAATTTCAGTAACACACATAAATATTAATCTTAATAAATATGGGGATGATAAATTACAAAGTAAAACTTTCATTGGGCTTATTTTAATAAGTATTGAAATAATTTTAATATTAATTAAAATAAAATTATAAGTTATTAAACGAAATAAAACGCAGTGATTATATTGAATTTTCTTTGCTGAAAGTGCAGACTTGAAAATAGTTTTGTCTTTAAAATGGAAAAGCAGTCGATTTTATTCAAATACAAAATAACAAATATTTTGTTTAAAAAAGAACTTATTTAACGCGTGTTCCTTATAATTACTTTCAACTCCGTTGCGCACCCCCGTTCACTGCAGAGAAAAAAGCAGAAACTGTTTGGAGAAAAAAAATATTTTCCCCTGAAAAACTCACTAATCCGGCTCTCCATTTTTCTCTGTCCCAGACCGTCCCGCAGAGGACTGATCGTTAAGACACGGTTCCCAGCAGATCACCGAAGTCAAGCCTCACTGGCTACGGTCAGTATGTGGGTGGGTGACCACTTGGATCAGTCTGCGTAGGGACCGAGGGTGAGCGGTATTGGTCCTCGTTAAACTGTTCTACCCTAAAGTGCTCGACTTCGCGTTCAGGTCGTTGGACTACCGAAGCGGGGGGTGGCATCCCCTCTGCAGTGGATCAAAATTGTGATGGCATGTCTTCGGATCATCCTCAGGGATGCTTCCCAGACAGTCGCCAATAGCCCATTGTGCAGCTCTAGTGCGACGTA